AAAGCATCTCTACCGAGAATTTGTAATGCTTCCATTCGTTCTAGAAAACAGTAAAGGTACGATAAATTCAGAATCGTATATATATGTAATTTAATTTGAATTAATTTCACACAACCTTCATTTCCACCTAATGTACTTACTGTGGTTGTTACCCAAAAACAAATAACTGTGTCCAATCAAAGGGTAGGCTTTTACTCTGCAGCTCAACTGTTTACCTAATTTGTACACTTCTCTCCTAGACCAACGGTCATATAACAATAACACTATCACTAAAAATATTAACAATTCCACCAACATCTCGCTTGTTTGGACAAAACTCAAATACTCAATAATTTTTTGATACTCAAATATATATTGACGTATCCAGAACTATTATAAGCTTAATTAATAGACCAAAATATTAAAAGGAAAAAAAACTATTGTGAACTCAAGAATTTAATAATCCGAAATTATTGTTTTCCATTTAATGTTACAGATTAAGTTAAAACCAGCGGTTCTCAAGCTGGTGAGTATTTCTCACCAGCCTGATGAAATAAGCGATTTCCGTGTATTACAACTAAATAACCATGATAACCTATTATAATATTACCATAATATATTGAGATACTACCCATTACTGCATTTCGCTACTGAGCCTTTATTTAAACCTCAGTTAAAAAGCATACAATTTGTTACAATTAAATCTACATGCGAGAGCCACGCTATGGCACAAAATAGGCTAGCTATAGAAGTATAGCTTACTTACCAATTACAAATAGGTCTTTAGTTGTTTTCGTCTGTTCGTTTGCCGCCCTATCCGATAAAAAACGATATTTATTTTTTACCTCAGATTTATACACATTTTGCACATAATAGGAAAATTTTTATACTTAATCTAAAAAATTTTGTGAACCATTGCATATGTGTTATATGAATATGAATATATATGGCATTGAATATTTTTTCGTAATTTAATTACTTTATTTTTGACAATAACATCAAGATGTTGTGTTTCATGCACACAATAACACCTTTATGACGCAAATTAGAAATCAATTATTTTTTAGACAAAACAGTCAATTGAATTATCTCAATCTGTTGACTTGGTCTGGTAATAATACTGAAGTACATATTTTGGATTTTTAATCGTTTTGTGCTGCTTAGGAAAATATGAAAACCAACATGTCAAAAATGGCTGAATAAATGTGGAAGAAGCAGAGCACCAATGAGCCAACTGTGATACTACGGCCTCAAAGAAAACCGGCGTAAAACGATGTTTGTATTGTGTTTCGCCGTGTGGGTGAGGTTACAGGAGGTCTCATCCTTCCCCACACCCGCCCCTAATCTCCAAGTGGCCTAATCCTCAAATTAGAAACACCTGCGACGCTGATAGCTTACCATCAGGTGATCTGCTCGTTTACCATCCTATCCCTTAACAAATATATGGCATAGTATATGACGTAGGTTTTTTTTTTTTTAAGGGGGGAAAATCATCGAATGACTGCCCCCGCCTGGGTGAGGCGGGAGGGAGTGTCAGACTCTTACTGACTAAAAACCACCCCGTTCCTTCTCCTGCACGTCGAGCCGGAGCCCCGGTTACCCGTTAGGTTCTCCGCGACTCCGAATCGGCATCGGCCCTATTGGGCCCCATCTGTGGTGGTCTGATGGCTCTTTGAGGCGCGCGCGGAACGCGACGCGCCGTACGCTCGGGTCTGTTTCTGGTCGGACGGGGAGCCACCCATGCTCGCCGTCCGCAGGCCCGCGCTTACGGTGGCCGGAGATCGTCCCGCGATCCCCGACGCCCGGTGTGTCCTTCGCGATGGCTGGGTTGCGAGGAGGCAGCGCTTCGCTGCCTCACGCGTCCCGCCTCCTCCTTAGCTAGCATGACTGCTTCGCAAAAGGAGGAGACGGCATCCCAATCCCCCTCGCTCCGCATCATGGCCTGCACTAGGCCCGGACGCGAGAGGTCGCCATCGCCGATCACTTCCCTGAGGACACGGCGGTGCTCAGCCCACGAAGGGCATTCTCCCACCGTGTGTTCCACCGTGTCCTCAGGGCGGTCCTCGCAGTGATGACACCCGGGCGTTTCCTCCCGCCCCATCAGACACAGGTACCTCCCGAAACTTCCATGTCCGGTGAGGACCTGCGTCAGGCGGTAGGTGAGGACGCCGTAGCGTCTCTCAAGCCACTCCTCAAAGAGGGGACTTACCGCTGCGATGGCAGCGAGCCCAATATGACGTAGGTTAGGCACCATCAAAGTATGATGTATATTAGTAATTTTAGTAGAGGTATATTTGCTGGACACGTCTGCATAATTTTTTTAGTACTGCCCGTACTGGTCGACATGGAAGTACAAATTGAGTAATAAGTATGAAGCCAACGTATCATTTTGAAAATTACTTAATGAATGAAAAGGTTGATGTAAACGAGATTTATTATTATGATGTGTCATTTTACAAATAATACACTTAGGCTCATAGTAGTCAAGCTAGTTACTACTATAATCAAATGGTAATAGTTACTACTATAGTAATGGTTGCAAAAAAAAAACAGAAAAATCAGCTACGATGCTAATTTATTTGTTTTCTATTTTTAACTGACTTCCCAAAAAGGAGGGGGTTATCAATTCGACAGTATGTTATTTTTTTGTGTGTACATATATGTTACCCGATTACTCCGGCGGCGTTTGTGAACGGATTTTGATGATTCTTCACCATTATCAGTGGGCGGGTAACCTATGAGTAGGTTATGAATAATAATAGTTATTTTTTGCTTTTTAGATTTGAACTTTTGCTTATGTTTAAGTTTTGGTTTAGAACTCACTTTGCTGCCTCTTGCTCCGCTGCTGTACTAGGCGCAATCTATCGCGAACGTTAAGCCGATTGTAGACCAAGAGCTAAACTGCAGTTTAGCTTAGTTCACATAGTCAACGGAGTTTTCCTTACTTGTCGCATAGTTTAAGGTCTGTAAAAAATCCTAGCTTCGCTCTTGATCTTCAACCAGCTTTATTCAATAGTGTTTTGTTTAAGTAACCATACCATTTCTCCTACAACGAATTGAAATTAGCCCCTATAATAACAAAAATGATTGTCACGAAAAGAGCTTTCTAATAACATACGTCTAGTCGTTATTGGCCGTTAGGTAGATTTCCCATATATATTTGCCCGTCATCCATTTTCAAAATTTTGAGTTTTACATTTCTGAGACGTAAATTCAATGTATGATTCCGTGAATTTATTGAGGATAAACATAAAAGTTGACCTGAGTAATATATCAAACCTGTAAACCATTGCTTACTAGTTAGATCCGATGATCTGACTATAGAGGGTTAATCTTAATTATGTTTGTGTATAATGTATAATAATATTGGTTATCAGTTGTAATTAAAGACACAAACAAAGAGATAAGGGGGGTGCTTCCAAACTATAATATAGACTGATAAATTCAAACAATTATGATAATAAAGGTGCACTGAACTAAACTATTGTCATTAGGTAATAAATATTTTTATTTATGGAATAGGAGGCAAACGAGCAGACGGATCACCTGATGCAACACCAGGGGAGTCACAGGTGCGTTGCCAGCCTTTTAAAACGGAGTACGCTCTTTTCTTAAAGGTTTGAAGGTCGTGTCGGTCGGAAATACCGCCGACGACAGATCATTCCACAGTTTTGCTGTGCGAGACAAAAAGCTAAATTAAACATCTCATCTCATTTAATTAGTTCAGGTGAAAGTCTGAATGACTGCACGGTTGGTGCGGTGGCTAGGCAACCGGCTGCCGTGCAACGTGTCGCGGGTTCGATTCCCGCACGGGACAACACTTTGTGTGATCCACAAATTGTTGTTTCGGGTCTGGGTGTCATTGTGTATGTGAACTTGTATGTTTGTAAACGCACCCACGACACAGGAGAAAATCCTAGTGTGGGGCAACGTTTAAAAAAAAAGAAGTAAAGGTTAGAATGTACGGTTGGTTCGGTGGGTGGACAACCGGCTGCCGCGCAACGTGTAGCAGGTTTAATTCCCACATCGAGCAAATTTTTGCGTGATCAGAAATAAAATTGTTTTGGATCTGGGTGTCAAATGTATCATACTATTATGCACCCACGAAATAGAAGAAAACATAAAGGGAAGGTTTATAAAAAAAAAGAAAAACAGGTGCATTTAACATAACATAACATGACGTCTTTTATACCCGAAGGGGTAGGCAGAGGTGCTGCACATTACCTACAGCATTAATGGCACTGTACAATATAACACTGATTTTTCACTATTTTGTTATGAGCCCCATACCAATATGTTTATGACACCATTAAAAAAAATTCTCAATTCGTAGGAACATTGTTAATTTGATAACTTTATTAAAATTGTATTATTCTACCATTTGTATACAATATACACCGTGCACATTATAAATATAATTAAGGGTACATGTAAAAAGCCCCTGGATGCAGATCGTTGCCAATCGGCGGAACTGGAATATCCTGGAAGAGGCTCAGCAGTTCTCTAACTTCTGGTTGACATAATGATGATGAATAAACATAATGAAATCTTATAATAGGAGGTGACATACATACACAACCTTATGCCTTCTCCCCTGGGGGTAGGCAGAGACTATATATGGAACGCCAACTGCTACGATTATTGAATATTTCTCTCGCTACCTCAACACTTCAACAATCATGAATGTTTTCATACATGCTCGTAAATTAAGGGTACTTTTTATTTGGCCTTTCTGCACTACACTACACACACACTACAGCGGCAATCTGATCATTCCATCTAGGGCGCCCTCTACTGACAGTCTCATTCATATCCGCAATAGAAAGTGAATAACCTTATTAGGGGATTTTCCATCAAAACAACTCTTTAAAGTTTAACCAAAATAACATTTTGTAACCTACAACGTTACCTGCACGCATTCCTTTCGGTCAATACCTTCAATTTTGTCTCGTGATGCAAACTGGCACGTCACGTCATAAAACAGCTTTTTGTACCTATTTTCAGAAATAACAAACAAAAAATAAGTAACAATTGTGTAATTTAGTATCATGTTACTAGTTCTGTTATTACAATTTTATATTTACCTACTCATTGGACCAATGTTTAATAACTATATAGAGTCACTTTTATGTGATAAAAAATTCTAAATGTGTTACGACACTATGTTCATTGAAACTCAAACAAGTTTTGCTGGTTATAAAATATATTATATAGATGCCCTTTGATCAGAGTGATTTTACAAACAAATTAGCGGCCATGACCATTAACCAGCGCATTGTAATAGCTATTGTACTTATTATTCTTACAGAGTAAATGCTACCTGTTGATAAGAATGACTTATACTTAGTAAAAGAGTTATTTAAAACAATGTTGTAGTTCGTCTTCTGTTAGTTTCACTAATCTCACCGATTCTTCCCAAAGCACTTTGGCAGTTTTATCACAACACGCTTGTTTCGAAGGTCTACCTATTTTACAATTTATGAAGTATTCTCCACTCACTTTTCCAGCTTCCTCGTCTAAAGTCACATGTAAAGTAGTCTGGGCGCCCTCCCAAGGAGTCTTGAAGAATAAATTCAAAAATAATATCGTTATGTTTCCAAGCACTGTGTTTGCAGATTTGTAAATTCTGGTCCCAGCTAAACCTGGATCTATATTGTTAACCACGATGTTGGATCCTTTCAATCTCTTTGCGAGTTCTTTGCCAAATAAGACGAGACATAATTTACTATTACCATACATTCTAATCTTATTCCAATAATTAGTTCTATTTAAGTTTTCCATTTCCATTTTTGCAATACGATGTAGCACTGATGCTGTTAATATGATCCTGCTCGCTTCACCAGGTTTCCCAGTTTTCTTTAAAAGAGGGATGAGTAGTAGTGTCAGTAGGAATGTTCCGTAGTAGTTCACTTGCATTATAAAGTTCATTCCATCCGCAGTCAGGAAGTCCCCAGGGATACCAACTCCAGCGTTGTTTAGTAGAACGTCCAGTCTATCTTCAGTCTTCAAGATGTCTGCTGCAAATTGTCTCACTGATTGTAAAGATCCCAAGTCGAGGTGTTTGTATACCACGTCATCGTTGCCAGTCACCTTCACTATATGTTTCCTAGCGTTAGTGCCTTCATCTTCAAAAGGACAGGCAACTATCACTCTCGCTCCTCTACGGGCCAAGTCTGTAGCTATGTGGAGGCCCATTCCAGCTGTTCCTCCAGTCACTATTACGGTTTTGCCTACCAGTCTTTTTCTGGACATGCATATTGCATTCTTAGTTTTTTGATATAGCGCAAAGATAATAAAAGTACTAAGCACAACAAGTAGAACGGCGTACATTACTGCGGCGCGCGGCTTTGATACTGGCCTCTACTATACTGCGGCCCGGTGCGCTGTGTTATCTACACTAATAATATTATGCCGAGGGAAGATTTAATTTTTTGTTTGTTTGTTTGAATTGAATAGGCTCTGAAAGTAATGGACCGATTTAAAAATATATTTTACCATTGGAATCCTACATTATTTTTTGATGAACATTTAATAAAAACTACCAAATATTGCTTGCATTGTGGTTATTATAGACAATAGAGCAACGTGTACTATAAACTTATAAAGGACATTATCAACATAAAAATCTGCAATGTCATCTAACTATTACAATTATGCCAAAACAACAACTTTTCATCAAAACATGTGCAATAGTAACGTCACGTCGATACAAACCATTATTACTACCAGAGTACTTAATATGCTGTAAAGTCCCGGGACTCACTCTTTTAAACCACTATTAATATTTAATTGAAATTCAGTACAAGAATGGTTTGCGGCCAGGGAAAGGACTTAAAATATTTTTATTTATGAAACCGCACGGGAACGGGTACTGTGTAAGTAAACCCCAAATTCATAAACCCAAATTCTGCCTGAAGTCGCGGACGAAGTCGCGGGCAGAACACCTAGTCTCAATTACCTGTTCTCATTCTTTATAACTCGAATCTTGGACCTTCTAATTTGACTATATAAATAATTTTATTTTAAAATTTGCATTAAGTGTGGGAAAGCCACGCTTCGGCATTAATGGACCTTTTGCTATATTTCTACAGAACGACATTTATGCCTAAAAATACTTATAAAATTGGAATTGGTAAAGAATGCAATAATGTAACCTGAGAAGTAATCATGAGATCTGGTCAAAAAATGTACATGACAAAATCAAACAATGCTTTATAAGATATTAATTTATAATAAAACTTATTACCTATTATATAG